ACTGTTTTAAATATTGAAAAGACATTCATCCCAAACCTCTTTACGTATTATGTTATTCACTGGGCTTTAGCTCATTGCTCATATATATATGTAGGTGTTCAGGCACCGGACCGCTACTAGGAGCGTCAGGCTAGCTTTTGTTTTGTCAGCCAACCACTGTGCCTCACCGTGAGGTTTCAGGCCGTTCAAGCTTCGGCTTTGGGGTGTTTTAATATTCCTCGTCTGTCTCTGTAACTGTTTTGTTTACTGTATAGACTGTATAGACTATTACTGTACTGTTTAATCGGGATTAGATCCCTGTTCTGAATGATTGTACTTGTATGTGTAGACTGTCATAGCTCATTGGACATTGTTTATTTACTGTATTGGCTTCCGCCAGGCCCTGTACTCTGTTTTACTGGATTACTGTTAGGCAGGCCTTTGGTAATCTCGGATTACTGGCCGGTTACGGTGCTAAACCCATATGGCCGGGTTTGGGTCGTGACAGTGAGGTTATGGCTGTAGTGGGCTAGACCCATTGGACCCAAAATTAAATTCGCGCGCGCGCGCCGTCGTCCGTCGGACAGGCTGGGCTAGGCTTGGGCACGAGTGCGTGGTGCGAGGTTGGGTTCGGCTTGTCCGGTCCAATACTTATCTTTTTGAGCCAAAACAATTTTTATTTTTTAATTTCAGTTTCAAAAAATTAAAATAATTCTGGTCCAGATTTTTTCTCACCCAAACAGGTCCGAATAGGTTTCATACTTGTTGGTTTCCACCCGAACAGGTTTGAACCTGTTGAATCCTTTCTTGAATAGATCTGGAACTGTCCAAACAGTTCAAACAGATTTTCTATCTGTTGAAATTTGTCCGAACAGTTGCCTATCTGTTGGCACTTGTTCGAACAACCACCATTTTGCCTATATAAAGCCTACTTCCAGCAATTCATTTCATTCATTTTTCCATCAAAATTTCGTCATTCTTCTCTGTGTTTCTCTATATCTTTTCTGCATTTATTTTTTAGGAAAAGAAAGAGAAAGTATTACAACATATTTTGGTTCGCAAGGATTGGTTTTGTAGTACTGCAAAATTCAAGTGTTAGTCGTTGCATCCTAGGAAGTAGACGCTGTTACAACTTGAAACACCGAAGCGATGACGAAATCTACTTTAAGGAGATTGTGTCCAACACAAGTCTCGACATTATTTTCTGTAAACTTTTAATTCGGAAAATAATTTATATAATTATTTTTTTGAATTATTTTATTTTATTGTTTATTTAATTTACACATTTAATTTACATGCACACCTCTTTGTGGGTATAACAGGTTGAAGGAAGATATATGTTCTAAAAAACTTGCACTCTAAGAAACCAATATCATTCTTTTGAAAAAAACTAACTTGCTCGTCGGAGTGCTAATTCTGGCACCACCAACAAAGTTTTTCTTCTGTTTCAGATAGTAGTTCAATGATCTTTCAATAACTTATTGGGATTGAAGGGGTATTCTAAAATCATGGGCTTTTCCCAAATTAAGTCAAATTAGCAACTTAATTCTCAAATTAGGCCTAGTTTGGACAGAATTCCCAAACCAGGCTAAAGCGCTATTACAAACCACGCTTTCACTGTTCCTAGGACTCTCCTACGAAAAATTTGTAAAATAGTAAAAGCGTTGTTATAAACCACGCTTTTAATTAAGAAAGCATGATTACAAACCACGCTTTTAAAGAATTTTTTTTTCTTCATAAAACGTGGTTCCAAACCACGCTTTATAAATTTTTTTGAAAAACGTGATTTGGAATCACGCTTTCAACTCACTCTACGCACTTACTCTTCTCTTCTCACTCTCTCTCTCACACACACAAACACTCAACACACATACACACACCAAACCCCCCCCCCACACCAAACCAATATAATTTTTAATATATATAAATTTTATTTTATAAAATTAAGACCAATATTAATATATATATATAATAATAATAATAATTTATAATACCAAATAATAATCAACTATATGAAATTAAGACCAATATTTTCAAATAATTTTTTTTCAAATAATTTTTTTTCAATTAAAATTTTTTCAAATATTTTTTTCCCAATTAAAATTTTTTTCAAATATTTTTTTTTTCAAATATTTTTTTCAATTAATTTTTTTTAAATTAAATTTTTAAAAATTATTTTTTTAATTATTTTTTTTCCAATTATAATACGTGTGATCCCATTGTCATAAATAATAAAAATAAATATAAATATTTTAGGCCTGAACAAACAAATTTTTTATTTTATGTTTTTAATTTTTTTTAAACATTTTGTTTAAACCAAACGCGTTTGTAATTTATGTTTTTTCTAAAAATAAACAAAAACCAGTTCATAAATTTTTTGTAAACATAAACAAAAAACATAAACGTTACCAAACGCTACCTTAGTGTTTAGGGATAAAATTTATTTATTTTAGGGTTTAGGATTTATAGTTTAATTCTTAAAATTTATTTATTTTTATAAAATTGAAGTGAAAATAAATTTTAAGAATTAAACTATAAATCCTAAACCCTAAAATAAAAATAAATAAATTTTAAGAATTAAACCCTAAACCCTAAAATAAAAAAAATAAATTTTATCCCTAAACACTAAGGTAGCGTTTGGTAACGTTTACGTTTTTGGTTTATGTTTACAAAATTTTTATAAACTAGTTTTTGTTTATTTTTAGAAAAACATAAATTACAAACGCGTTTGGTTTGAACAAAATGTTTAAAAAATTTTAAAAACATAAAAAAAAATATATTTGTTCAGGTTTAAAATATTTATATTTATATTTATTATTTATAACAATGGGATCACACATATTATAATTGAAAAAAATTTATCGAAAAAGATAATTGGGAAAAAAAAATTTGAAAAAAAATTTAATTGGGAAAAAAAAATTGAAAAAAATTTAATTGAAATAAAAGATTAATAGAAAAAAAATAATTGAAAAAAAATTTATTTGAAAAAAAATTATTTGAAAATATTGGTCTTAATGTCATATAGTTGATTATTATTTGCTATTATAAATTATTTTATATATATATATATATATATATTTAATATTGTCTTAATTTTATAAAATAAAATTTATATATATTAAAAATTATATTGGTTTGGTGTGTGTCGGAGAGAGAGAGAGAGAAGAGTGAGTGCGTAGAGTGAGTTGAAAGCGTGATTCCAAATCACGTTTTCTCAAAAAAATTTATAAAGTGTGATTTAAAATCACGTTTTATGAAGAATTTTTTTTTTTTAAAAACGTGATTTGTAACCACGCTTTTTTAATTAAAAGCGTGGTTTGTAACCACGTTTTTACTATTTCACAAATTTTCCGCAGAAGAGGCCTAGGAACAGCGAAAGCGTGATTTGTAATAACGCTTTAGTCTAGTTTGAAAATTAGTTTGAAAATTAAGTTACTAATTTGACTTAATTTGAAAAAAGCCCCCTAAAATCACTCTCCACAGTATTAATAACTTTTTCCCACGTAACAATTATCTTAAAAAATAAATTATTCAATCCAAATGAACACGAGTCCCACCTTTTAGCACGAGTTTAAGTAAAAATGTAAAAAAGTTATAAAAAAATTAGAATTCGACCCTTATAATAATACAAATAATCAGTTTTTAATTTTATTAATTAAAATTATTATTGTTTATTTATTTTCGATATAGACTATGAGTCTAGTTTTGTTAAGTAAAATTGACAAAAAATTATATTTTAGTTATTAACCTCAATGTAAGTATATATAAAATGTTTAAAATATTAATTTTTTTGTTGAGTTTAATAATTAGAATACTATTTTTCTATTAATTTTACTTAACAAAAATACGCAAATGATTCATATTGAAATCAAATAAAAAATTTAGAGTTTCAATTGATAAAATAAAATTTTAATATTTATTTTGTTATAAGTGTCAAATTCTCTGACTCCATTTGGTTTAATTTTTGAAATGAGTTTTAAGTTTATTTTGAAAGATAAATTTTTAAAATGAGTTTAAAAAAAGAAAACTTCCTTGATTATGAATTTTGAAAAAGAGTTTTGAAACTAGTTTTTGAGTTTCATATTTTGAAATTTGTTTGGTTGAGTTTTGAAAAAAAAATTTGAAACTAATTTTTTTATTTAATTTATTTTTTGATTTTTGTAAAAATATATATATTTATCTATTGAAAAAAATAATTATTTTTTAAAAATTATTTAAAAAAATTTAGACAAAAGTTATTTTAATTTTTTAGAATATTATTTTATTTAATTTTTTTTAAATATTTTAAATTTTTTTTAGATAATTTTTTTTAAATACTTATTTTTTTTAATTTTTTAAATTTTTGAATCACCCATATATATCTAAATCATAATAAATTATTTGGCAAATACTTAAAAAAATAACACTTTTTTTTTAAAAGAATAAAAAATAAAAAAATTTCAAAGAACAGAATAAATTTTTTTGTTTGAATTTAATAAAAAAAAATAGAGTTTTGAAAACATATTTAGTTATGATTTTTTTTAGATAATTTTTTTAAAAGAGTTTTCAAACTTTGTTTTGTTATTAGTTTTGAAAGAGTTTTTGGCCATCCAATTGCGATTTGAAAATTAGCCAAACACTACCTTTGTTTTTATTGGTTATAATTTTTTCTAATTTTTAAAAAAATAATGGTACAATTTAAATTTGAAAGTTATAAAATAATTTTGAAAAATTTAAATAACCATTTGAGTCTTCTTTAATTTGAGAAAAAAAAACACAATTTAATATGGGGAAAATTACCCATTAGAGGTAATAAGTTGAAAAAATTATTACACATATATGAAAAACTTTATAAATTAAATAATTAATATTGATAAAATTCACCATTAATTTGTAATTATTTGTCACCTTATACACTGATTTGAAAATTTTCCTTTATAAGCTTTGATTTAAAAAATGAAGAAGTTTTTAAATATTTTTTTTATCCAAATTTAAATACATTTGAGTCGAAGGTCAAAGAAAATACAAACACACTACTGAATTTTGGCGCCATTCCACTCCCATCCCTACCCCTCTTCCCTTCTCTCTCCCTCTTTGCGATGCTCTTCTGTCTTCCCATCAAAGTATCACACTGTTCATTGCATTGCATTGCATTGGCAACAATAGTAAGAAAACAAGAGCAGAGAGCCTTGCAAAATCAAACAAAATGGTTCTCCTCCACCACCAAACCCTTTCCCGTAAAAGACCCCCCTCCAATACCTTCGTTTCCCCCTTTCCCCAACCCCCTCCCAAAATCCCCAAATCCACCACCACCCCCTCCTCCTCCGCCAATCATCAGACGGAAACTCTCTCTCAAGTCGACAAGATGGTTTCAGTCCTAGCCGACGCCGGCTGCACTCTGATCAACCCCTCCGGCCCACCCTCCCTCCCTTCCGACCCCCACAAGCTCCGCCGCCATCTCCACCGCCTTTTCTCCTCCGACGCTTCCCTCCGCTCCTCCTTCCTCTCCGGCTTCTCCTCCTACATCCTCTCCCCCCTCAATCTCCGCATGTCAGTCCCTTCTCTCTCCCCAAACAATAAAAACAAATAATGCTACTAACATTTGTTTCGTTTTTGTAGGGTTTTAGTCTCTTCTGATTCGGTAAGAAACGAAAGCCTTGTTCGAGTTCTATTACTCGTGCCTTCGATCCAGTTAGACCTTCTAATCATGTTGCTCGAGAAGCTTCCCGAGTACTTTGATGTTGGCAATGGTTTGGGCCTTGATGATGATGTGTCGAGGTTAATCTTGAACCAATTCAGGTGGCTTGACTTCCTTGTGGATTCTGATGCGTTTGCGGAGAAGTTGTTGCAAGTGCTCTCCATTTGCCCTCTTCACTTGAAGAAAGAGATTATTGGATCCTTGCCGGAGATTATTGGCGATCAGAACAATAGGGCCGTGGTTGATTCGCTTGAACAAATGCTTCAAGAGGACTCTGCTGTCATTGTGCCTGTTCTTGATTCTTTCTCCAATCTCAACTTGGATGATCAGCTGCAAGAGCAGGTTTTTTTTTGCTTATATATATACACATTGTTGTCAAATCACAAATAGAATTGTGAATGGATTTGCTAAAATAGTGAATTGTGAATAGTAAGATTCACTTTATTTAGCATAATATATAATTGTGTATATATATACATATAAGAATACACATTAGTGTTTTTAGAATGAAATAAATATGAACACAACTAAATTGTATATATGTATGTATATATAAAATCACATATATCAATATAATTTGTTGATCTCTTTTACTTATTATTTTGTGAAAACAACATTGTTTTAAGCATTATGCAAACAAATCTGAATCAGTCATAATGAATCGCAATAGAACCATAAGATTCACTCAATTTACGATTCAACTATACAAATCGAATCATTTTACTTGAAAGTCGTATTAAATTTTGAATTGTAAGATTCTTACAACTATAAATATGTTATACATCTCTCTCTATATGTGTCAAAATGGAATTGTTTTGGTATTATGCGTGTGCTATTATGGATTTCAGTTATTCATCAATTATATGTCGCTGAATTTTGAAGGTGATTACAATAGCATTATCGTGCATTAGAACAATAGATGCAGAGCACATGCCATATCTGCTTAGATTCTTACTGCTTTCTGCGACACCAGCAAATGCTCGAAGAATAATCTCACATATTCGGCAACAGTTAAAATTTGTTGGAGCATCAAATACTCGTGTAGTACAGAACAGTAAACTTAAAGGAAAATCACCTGTGGATACTGCAGAGGTTTCAATTCTCGATGCCCTGAGATCTTGTCTTCAGTTTAAAAATGTATGGTTTGTATGCACTATCATGCATTGTTTGTTCCAGTTTGCTTGGTTTACAAACTAAAAAGGCTCAATTGTGTATGCCACTGTCTGTAGACACTTTGTCAGGAGATATTGAAAGAACTGAAATGCCTTGAGACAGCTCGGGATCATAAGGTCATTGACGTATGGTTGCTTATGCTCATATACATGAATGGAGAATCTTTGCAAAAGAGTGTTGAAAATATTTTCAAAAAGAAAATTATTGAAGGTTGTATTCAGGATGTTTTGTTTGACCAGTGCATTCGTGGGAATAAGGAATTGGTACAGGTATGGTGTCTGTTACATTCATTTGCAATAAGGAATCCGTCCACATTCATGAATCATGACATGCATTTAATTGATTGGTTTAAAACTCATCTCAAGTGTTTGGTTGGTCCGATTTAGGATTATATCCCATCCTTTCTATCATTGTCCGAGTGTTTACTGGCATGCAAGGAACAAAAACCAAGGGAATTTGGCATTCATATCTATAGATCTCTGTTTGAAGAATTTGTTGATACTTCTTCAAGACAAGAAGTAAGCAACCTGTAGAACATATTTCTTAGATACTTATTCAACTTTCATTTTTTTGGGGAAAATAAGAACCTGCAGTCCCAGAATAGTAATCTATGGTTATTGTGCAGGTTCTAGGCACATTAGTAACTCATATGGGTTCTGGCGTTAGTTTTGAAGTGAGTTCTGCCTTGGAGGCCATGGTTTTGCTTGCATCCAAGTATTCAGAGGAATTAATTCCACTTTCTTCTCACATAAGTGGTATGTCCACTTATCAATCTATATGTACTGATTCTAAGAAAAATTCATTGCAGCTTCATGTTTTCTTGACAAATTACAGTTTATGTTGTTCAGGTATCTTGGATTACCTGGAGGGATTTAGTGTTGAAAATCTGCACAAGGTTACTGTTATTGTCATTTAATCCTACTATTATAACTCAAGCAGTTCTGCCTGCTCTTTCACCAGACTTTCTCATAGTGCAGGTCTATGAAGTTTTTAGCCTTCTAGCACTGTCTGCATGGTCTAGTAAAGAGTCAGTTGGATCTTCCATTGCAAATGAGCTCTTGATGATCGTACGGAAGCAGGTAAAGAAAAAGAAAAATTTTGATTGTAGTTTGGAGCTTTTCTAACATTTGATTCAGAATTTAGTTTACATGCAATGGGGTTCTTTATTTGGATTCTACTTTGTTATACCACATGTTTGTGTGATGCTAAATTGCCTGTTTATACTACCCTTCCAACTGGCAGGTCAGTAATCCAGATTTGAAGTATAAAAAGATGGGCCTAATTGGGACCCTGAAGATAGTTTCCTGTCATGGGGATGCAAATAATGCAGCCTGTTCCTCATCTCAGGTAGCACAATATCATTGAATCCTAAAATTTAAAATAGGTCATGACTGGCAGTCTGGCAGTAATTATTGTTGTTTACTTATGCTGTCCTTGATCAGATGTTGCAAGTGTTTTACCTCTCTACCTTCATGTTTTTGACCTACTAGAGATGATTTTCCTAAAATAGCAGGGATATAACTAATAACTACATCTGTTAGTGCGTGTAGATATGCCTGTATCATATAACTATGATGGGATGTGCATACAATTAATTGCGAGCTTTCCAAGACATCGAAAAAGCTCACCAAAGGAAGAAAGTGGAGGAACTAAATTTGGATGAACATAAGTTGAATCCCTAGGAAGCTGGGGGGGTTGTTTTTCAAAGCTGAAGTGAAGATGTAAATGCTTATCTTGGTGCCACCTAATGGAAATAGAATACTTCCATACGAAGAAGGTTTATTATTCAGTGAGTGATATCTTGGATGTAGAGTAATGAAATAGGATTTTTGTTATTGTCAACATGTAACTTCCGGAGTTCCATTTAGTTACAATTTACTCAGAAGTGAACTATGGGGCCTAGGCCTAGCTCTTCTACTTATAATTTCTGCTCCTGCCCATCCTATGATGCAGGATGAGTGTGATGAACGCTTTCCTACAAACTGTGAGCCAAAAATTGATGTGGGGCAGCAGTAAAAGGCTTTCTTGGGGGCTGATAGTAGTTGGCTTCTGTGTTTGGAGGGGTGGTAAGACCATGAACATCTTGGGGTTTGAAAGGTGTAACAAAGGGGACAAGATTTTAAAGGTTTAATTTTGGAAGAGGAGGGACATTTCTGGACTGTTCTTATACTGTGTGAACTGTACCCATAGAATAGTAACAAAGGGCTAGTTTGAATTACTTCTGTGTTCTGTGGCTGAATAATTGAAGCAAGAATGGTTTAAGCTTGTAAATTAGTGTGAAAGGATTGGAAAAGATTGTGATCGTAAGTGTTTCTAGGGTTACAAAGCATCGAAATCGAAAGGACATAAATTGATAAGAAAAAAGAAGAATCTAGGCATCACATTTAGGCATCACACCTATTTATAGAATTGCATCATGCAATCCTGAGGAAGCTTCAAAATCTCTAAAAAAAGTTCTAAATTCAACATCACTGAATTGGAAGAATTCTCTAAAATCTCTGAAAAATTGGCTCACCAAGGCCCTAGGCTCACTTACATGCCTATTTGGCTTCTTGGCTCTCCCACACCAAGGTGGGTTCTAGGCTCTCCCACATTCTGTTGGCAGCCTAAAGATGATCCCTTGGCTGGCACATATGCCAGCCTGTTGGGCCACATATGCTTGCTTGGCAGCCTAAGGTTGGGCCTTGGCTTGCCTTAATGCCCACTCATTCTACTCAACCACTTGGCTGCTTAGGCTGGGAGTAGGGCCTAGGCACCCCGCTTGGGACCATCGGAGGACTGTGGACTGGAGGCTAAGATCATGGGACCATCAAGGTTTTGCTTGGCTGTCAAGAGAGCTCCACCTTGATCAGGTTTAGAGAGAGGCGATGTGGACCTTACACCCATGCCTCTGCATGCATGATCCGTCACCCTCGAAGATATTAGACCTGTCACCCCAGATGACAGTAGGGCTGATATCAACTCCTTGAGATAAGGCTTGACCGCCACCTGTCCCACAGGTTGCTTGGGCTCTAACACTAAAGGAGCCTATATAATGTATCATACATGCAGTGGCCATCATCAACACACAACACGTCTATCACTATGCAAACCGTAGGTGTTCAATGTCTCTTATTGCCCCCTCTCTAAACCTGCCTTGGTCTTCTCCTCCTTCACCTCTGGTGATCTCAAGCTATTGAAGTGCCCGCCATCTTCCTAGAGGTCTACAACTGACCACCTCTAACCTCACTTATCCACACAGAGCATGTGGTGTATCATGTTCCCATTCCCGTCCCTTGTACTAGTATGAAGCATATGAAATGAATAATTATTTAGTGAATTAAAAGATTCCTGTACTGCCCTTCAATGTTTAGGAGGCTATCTGTGGTTGGACTTTGCCTAAATGTTTCAATCACAAAGAACTTTAGTTGGCTGTTTTGGAAATTTGTCTGCTGTATGTAGTGCAAAAACTGCTTCAAAATCTGATGCACTGATGATAATTAATTTTTAGTACATGGTTAAGCATGGAATTGTTAGGCTTCTGGCTATCACATCTTTCATGCTAACCTTCTTATTTTATTAATTGTTTTTTATATGCTCTCTGTGCCAAGATTCATTTCATGGTTCTGGTTTCTAAAATTACATTCACAGTTTGTGGAAATATTTTCTGCAGAAGTCAAATTATGAGGAGGCTCTTGAACTCTTGAAATTATCTATGGAGTCTTGCAAGCAGTTGCCTTTACCATTGATCCTGTTTTATGATGAACTCATTTCTGTATTGGATTGCAGAACTCTTCACCCAGCTATCATGGAATGGTATGTTATATGATAAAAGCTACAAAACTGTTGCATGTAGGATTAATCTTGTTTGTCTTGCAGGATTGGCAAACATGCCAGTGAGTTTGAATCATTATTTTTGTCTGATCTTGAAGGTGGGCAATTGCCTATTAAGGACTCAAACTGTGGTCTAGAAGGTAAGCTGAAGTGATACAATCGAAGCTTTTAAAAGTAAACAGTTTCCTGTCAGGTTTCATAACAACTTAAAGTTCCTATTCTTATCTTTGATGTAGGGGAACTATGGATGAACTTGGATGGTGATATATCTCCAGTTTGTCTTAACATATTGCCATTGGTTTTGGCATCGATGCAGTAATGTTGCTCTACTCTTTCTTAAGCAGTGATGTGGCTGTATTTTTTTTCTTTCTATTATTTAATTTTATTCTTTATTTTGTTTTTGGGTGGGGGTGGGGTCACTTTGTCTCCTTTTTTGAGTTTTATTGATTTTGGAATGAAGTTCATTTGTTTGGTCAAGTTTTATTTTATTTTATTTTATTTAATTATTATTATTATTTTAAATGTGCTCAGAAAGTAATAATTATTAGATTGTTGACCACCAACTCATTTAAAAGCTTAAGTTGTTAGGGAGAGGGACAACTTTATTATTTACATCATAGTTTCAGCATATATGAACTCCCTATTTTTTAAGGGTTTACTTTGATTTTTTAAATTTTTATTGCCACATGTATGGAAACAATTTTGTTAAAAAAACAAATGTATGCATACAATTTGGTGTGAGAATACATAACTAGTCAGTCACCATGTTATCAATTGAATATGTTAAATTGTCAATTTTACTTAATTAAATACTTCACTGATCATCATATTTGCAATTGATAATGTCTTATGGAATGAAAACTAATAGATAGTGTTTTGTACCAGCAGCAACATGAAAATCAATACCCAGTTAATCTTCCTTTATGACGAATTAAATTAATTAACAGTATTGGAAATAGATGTGTGACTTGTATCTTATAATAGGGTTTAAACATGGGTAAAGAACATTTTCCTTTCATGCTCTATGAAAAGGTCACCAACCGAAGAAGAAAAAGGGATCTTAAGTGGAAAGGCAGCACAAAATTTTCTGATTTCCTTTACCAAATCCTTGAACCAAACACATCATTTACTTGTTTACTTATGTACTATTAACTGTCAGTGCCAGTGACTGCAGCTTTAGACTTTATGTAATGCAGGTCTGGATCATTATTACAAATTCTTCCCGCTAAATTTCTGTTACTCTCTACAGTAAGTGCATTGTTCACTTGGAAACTAAGAAGTACGGACACGGGACACGGTGATTTCAAGAAAATGGGGACACTGACATAGCAGGGACAGAACAATAAATTGTTTTTTTCTTTTATAATTTATATATTTTTTTGCAATGTAAATTAGTATTACATTCATAAACAATCAAAATTAACAAAAACTAATACTAATTTAATATTTAAAAAAAAACCCTCACTCTTAAACTAACTCTTACTGTCTGTCTTATTTATGGATGATCTATTAATCATTTAAATCTAAGCAAAAAGTAATAAACATTGAACATCCAGTATCCAACATCCATCAAAAGCACTAAAGAAGGGAGGGGAAAAAAAACTAGTTGGCGTGTCCCTTACATGTCCCCTTAAAACAGATTAAAGGGGCACACCACGCCACATGGTGTACTGTACTGTGTGTGTCCCCCTGTGTCCTTGTGTCCCTGCCATGTTCCCATGTCCGACACTTCTGACGCACTTGTTTTGAAGTGTATGTGCTTCATAGCTTGGACAGAGAATTTTTTTTCGTGATGGAATTAAACTTTGGAATTTGCTGTCAATTCTTGTCAGATTGAAAGGTTGGCGAACCAGGGATCTCTTGGAGGAATTGATGCACTACTTGGCTGCCCTTTGCACCTTCCTTCCTTTCAGGTGAAACTAAATCGTGTGCTCTTATAAACTTCATCAATTTGGTTTTTTACCTTTATGATCCATGATCTAATGATGCATTAACATTTGAACAAAATTCAGAAAACAATCCAACTGTTTTTCCTTTTCAATTGTCTGATCTTGAGTTTCATTTAGATTTTTTTGTTCTTAATTGTCCTACTACCCAACTTGTTTAACGTTGATGGAAGTTTTTGATTTTTTTGTTTAGTAGATAGAAGTGTTAGGAAACCGGATAGGCCTAGATTAACGTTGGCTAGCATTGTAAATAGAGATATGGATCTACTTAATTTGACCAATGAAATGGCTTTTGATAGAGCCGTGTGAAGAAGAAAGATTCATGTAGCTGACCCCATTTAATGGGACTTAAGGCTTGGTTTGGTGGTAATTGTCCTACTACCCAACTTGTTTTTGGGTGAATTGTTTAATTATGATGTAATTTAGTTTGTTTCCCGATGAAGGTCCAAGACTCCCAAGTATTTTGAATCTTAAACGACTACCTTCATGATGTTGGTTATGAATAAAGTTCCCTTGAGGTTTTCACTTAAGGTTTCAACCAAGTTTAATTTGTCTTACGCAATTCTCAAATTAAACACTTTCAAATATAATTTATAATCACTTAAAGTAAGTAGTGCAATTGTATAATAAGTGCTAAACAATCAAGTATTCGTCTCATACATTTAAGATAAATAAATTGTGCAAATAATGTAAAGATAATGAACACAAGGATTTATAATGGTTAGGCACACCCTTTATGCCTACATCCACTCACGTTCCTGAACTGATGTAACTCTACTAATCCAAATGGGATCTCACTAGAGTCATCCAAAACCTTTACAACTCCACAACTAAGGGTTTTCTCTAGGGTCATCCACCAACCTTTACAACACACAACAAATACAAGAAATAGTGTTTTCTTGGCTCTAACCAAAACTAACAACACAAATTCCTGTTACTTAAACTACGACTCCTAGGGTCTCTATATGAGACCAAAGTGTAGGGTTATGTGACGGCAATAGTGTATATAACAAATTACAACACTAGGATGAGGAATTATAACTCCAAAGATGAGAACTCCAAGGCTCCAAAGGAGTAAACTCTCCACCCAAGGTGCTAAAAGGTATCTCAACCTAACTCACTCACATGTGTATAAACCACTTTGAGATGTGATTTGGAGAGTGGAAGGAGTGTACGTGTACTCATAGATTTTTCTCATTGTGAAATACAAAATAGGGGCATTTGATATATTTAGCCTAGCCTCTGCAATGACTATAAATGACTAATTTTTTTGAAAATTCCGTAGTTTGGTTACCATCTTGAGGTTGTGGTAGACCACAATGACCATCATGGTCGACCACATCTATCAAGATGGTCTACCACACTGTTGTCTGGTCATCTGGGCTCTATGGGCTTCTACCATGGTTGAGCACATCCATTAGGATAGTCAATCATACTGTTGGGTGAACTTTCCCTGGACTCTGGACCTTACCGTGGTCGAGCAAGTTGACAAAACTAAAGCTTTTTGAGCCTTTGCTTGTCTACTGCTTTCTTCATGTTATGCTTATGAAGGTCTTTCATATAACATCTGCTCTTTTTACCCCATGAGCTAATAAAAGAGGCAAACTGGGGCCTAATCCTTGCTTTACTTTCCCTTGCTCATCTCCCTAATATGCCAACAAGATGACAATTTTGACTTTGGGGAAGCCCATGCCACCCCAACTATTTATGTATTTAGTGTTATACTAATTTGTGTATGTATGTCTGCACATCTATACTTAATAAGCCCCTATATACCTAATACTTGGTTACTTACAAATCACAGCTTTTCGTGTGGTATTAACTTGTCAGGTCAAACCTGCTACCCGCCATTAGTTTGCTAACTTGTATTTGGCTTGTGTAATGTCAGATCTTCTCTGAACAGGCATGGCAGACTTCGACTGACAAACAGAAAAAAATTGTTTGCATTTCTCTCTATTATGCAGCTAACTGGATACGGGAGTTGGTAAGTATTGAGGTTGGAAGTTGTCACAATTATGGTTGAGGTGGGTTATTTCACAATATCTAATACTGTTGATGCCTTGTGTAGCTTAATGCTTTCTGTACACAAGTTTCTGGAAGATTTGACTGTGTAACTCAAGCAACAAAGGAGGAAATAATTGTCAAGTTATTGAAGCGCTTGAGGAATCTTGTGTATGTTTTCATGCACTCTCTCTCTCTCCCCCTCTGTGTCTCTGTCTCTGGGTAAATTACATTGGCCACCCCTGAGGTTTGGTCATATTACACTTAGCCCCAGTGGTATCAGAAGTTAAACCAAGTATCCTTGTTATAGTATGTAGGAAAGTGGTGTTAAAGGTGAGTCTCAAAATGCCTTTTACCTTTCCTTGTTTTGAGTCCTGGTAAGTATTTTATCACCACAAAACAGAGTAACACAGGGAAGCTCAACACACAGCCTGTCGGTAACACATTTCTCTAGAGATAGACAAACAAGAAAGACAAACCTAGCCCAAAACAATATTCTCTTACAGCCTGAGGGGCTAGGCAAGTGAACAACATGTCCGAAGGCCATTAAATAGTAGGCAACAACAAATGAACAACACCATAACCCAGCCAAAAATGCTGCAGCTAAACACGTCACATGCATGCAAGCCCAAGAAATACCATTATGCAATGCCGACAACAACTTTCTTATCTACAACCATATTCTTAATGTGCATAATTATTTTCAGTCAAAAGTTTAATGATGTCCTTAATATAACATCTCTTCTGCTCCCTCTCTCTTGCACTAAAGTGGCAGACCAACCATCACCCAACACCACCAGTTGACACAACACCATTGGTCAACAGCCACCATTTTCCTTGTTCCAACTTCCTCTAGGAACCATAACCCACCTCATCACATGGAGTCCAGAACACCACCCAACTCCATGTAGATTTGGCTTTTGTTCCTTTTTACAGCTTATAGATCAAAACACCATCCCAAACATTGGTTTGCCTTTTGTTCCTCTTTACAGCTTGCAAAATTTTTCACTAAGACTCTTGTCTGCTCGATTTCAATTCTTACTTGACAAACTCTCAATGTTTATTGAGCTCACATCATGAGTTTGAGGTGTGTGTTTATATGTGAAAGCATTGTATTATATAATGTATTTTTAGTGTTTCCTTAGTTTCATTTGTTTGTAGTTTTCCTAATTTTTAGTGTTGCCTTTTGTGATTAGGGTTTTGCTATGTCATATACGATCGAATAAGATTGTTTTCTTCTTCTCAATCGGAGTACGGCATAATCTAACGTTACCACAATTTAAATACAAAAATATGGAAAATGTAGAGTATGGTTAGAGAAAAGGAGAGAAGAAATAAGGAGAAGAAGAGAATATTATTGAACGTATGTTTTTAGGCTTGTGAAATAAACCTAAACCATCATCAAGGCATAGTTGTCAAATCGGGATTCGAAATGGCCTTGTGCCAAATAGCGAATCAAATTGAATCGTGAATCGTAAAGATTCGGTTATTTTTTCTAAATTACATAGAAAGATATATCTACACACTTGGATGTTAAATATATCTTATGAATATGAAATATTTAGACTTAAATTAATGAAAATGTTGTTTTGAGTGATGATCACGTAGTTTAATAGGTAAGAAGTTAACAAAAGTTTCTATGTAAAATCACCATCTTATCTTTTTACTTTTTTTTAGTTATTTTTTATCAACCATTGTTAATAAAAACACTAAACAAAACAAACTCTCAATTTCCAAAGTAATAATAATTTAATAACGATATTGATATTTAGACAATAAAGATACATACTTTTCCAATAAACAATAACTAAATAATAAGAAAAAAATTATTTAGGATTTTTTATTTTAAAACCTAAAACATTTTTAAAGGTATAACGTACTTCACCCATATTTTATTTAATAAAATAGGAATAAATAATCCATGGTGTAAGTTACTTTAATTTTAAACATCTTTAGAAGCTATATTATGATTTTTTAAAAGAAAAAAAAATGAGAAGAAGGTTAAAAACATGTTGGGTCTAACTAAATTTGATTGAATCCTATTAAAAACTCCATGATCACTAAAATAACAACAAATCATGTATATTTATTAATTATTTTGTAACTAAATGCGGTTAGAAGTTGTATTATGTCATTTTCACTAAAAATATGGAGAAAAAAAGAGTTGAAAATATGTTGGACATGATAGTTTTAAGAATTACATAAATCGTAAAAAGTGAATCGAATCATGAATCGATTGAATTGTGCGATTCATTAGAGATTCACTTCCAAAATAGATTCACTCATAGATTCGTATTGATTTTGCAAAAATTGCGAATTGAATCGTGAATCGAATCGTGAATCGTAAGATTATGATAACAGAGCATCAAAGACATGGATGAAGACCACATAATCAAAAACACGAGGAGGAAGAGGAAACAGGGAACAATTGGGGTATAACTGAGAGACGGGAGATTGGTTTTGTAAAACAGCAGAGGGCATGCAGTTAATAAGAGAACAGGTAGTAAGCACTACATTGCCCCAAAACTATTTGGGAACATGCATGTTAAACATCACGGTTCGGGTAACATTTAACAAATGGCGGTGTTTCCGCTTAGCAACACCATTTTGCTGGGATGTATGAGCACAACTAGTTTGATGTATAATACAAAGATTATCACAGAAAGTATTCACAACAAACAGTACATATTCTAAAGCATTATTAAACCGAAATATCTTTACACATTTCCCAAATTGAGTAAAAATCTCATTATAAAACTTGGAAATAATTTAGGGCATGTCAGATTGTTGCCGTAGTAAAAATAACCAAGTCATCTGAGAATAATTATCCACAAAAATAACAAAATAAAAAAAAAAAATTGACAGTGGGAGTGCGAGAAGGACCCTATATGTCTGTATGGATTACATCAAAGCATGCGGACACACGACTAATACTACGACTAGAAAAGGAATTACGGGTGATGCTTGCCAAGTTGACACACTTCACATTGAAGCTGAGACATATGACTTAAACCTAGGGATGTAAGAAAAACCGAAAAAACCGACCAAACTGGTATATTTGGTCTGTTTTTTAACAAGAATCAGTCAATGCGGTTTTTAAATTTGATTTTTTTCGATTTTCAGTTCAGTATTGGTTTAAGCACCTTGTGCATCGATCTGAACCGAAACCGACCGCTTCAACATATATTGTTTTTATAATATATATATAATCTAGTAATATAATGATATTGTTAAGTGTTAGGGGTATTTTGGTCTTCGTGTCTCATTCTTATTAGTATAAATAGTTGTGTTAAGGGGAAACCCTACATTTTTGAATAAATATATACAGCTGTTGGTTCTCTCTCTCTCTCTCTTTCTCACAATTCTGCAACTTCTTCTCCTTCTCCTTCTCCTTCTCATCTATCCATTCAACATGGTATCAGAGCAATATCTTTCTCCTTGAAGATTGTTCCTCTCCTTCCCTTGTTCTTGTATCTGGTACGTTTCCCATAAAAAAAAAATTTTTTTTTTGCAGTATGCTCGAAAATTGATGGGCATTCATCCTATAATTTCCTTTTGATTTTTTGGTTATTATTGATTGTGTTTTCCAATTTTTTTCGATTTTCGTCAAAAATGGGTGATTTTTTGAAAGTCACTGGTTGCACCCTTTTTGCTTGATTTTTTCCCTCTCCTTTACATCCTAGGGAGCTGACTGGGCCTATAGAGGGCTTTGCTATCCTTGTTTTGCTGTATTTTGGCTCTCCCTTGGTTTTTTCTTGAGTTTTGGATGATCTGCTTCAGTGTTTAGGCTCCTATGTGATTTGGTTACGTTATTCTAGGATTATTTTGCACTGTCTGTGCTGGTTAGGTTTTGTCAGGACTTGTTTGTGTTTCTGCCCCATCTTTCTCTTATATCATGGCTGAACTTGAGGGTTCGTACTCTAAGGGCAAGGAGGACAGTGGACTAAGTCGTGGTATGACTCTAGGTGATAGTCCTCTCCAGATTAGTCCGGTCATGCTTAATGGCACCAATTACTTGATTTGGTCCCGCTCCTACAGTCTTGCCATTGCCACCCAACGTTTGATTGGCTATATTACTGGTAGTACCAAGCAACCTACTGAGGACAGTGCTTTATCCGCTCAATGGATCTCGGAGAATGCTTTAGTGATGACCTGGCTGATCAATTCTATGGAACCTACCATTAGTAGGACTTTTCTCTTGATGGATACCACTCACAAGATCTGGCTAGTGACATCTCAGATGTATTCTCAACAGGGTAATGATGCACATGCTTATGAATTGCGAAAGAAGATTAGGGGCTTGGATCAGAAGGATCGCTCTTTGGCAGTCTATAATGCTGAGTTGAGTGGTTTATGGCAGAAACTAGATTATTACCAGAGTTTCCAACCCGTTTGCTCCACGGATGCCACTATGTTTCAGCAGGTTGTGGAGAAGGAGCGGGTGTATGATTTTCTTGCTGGCTTGAATTTGGAGTATGACCAGATTCGGGTTCAGGTGTTGGGTCGCTCTCCGTTTCCCACATTGCGTGAGGCTTATGCACTGGTTCAGCAGGAGGAGAGTTGTCGTAGTGCTATGGTGCATGCCCCTGTTCAGGATTGGTCAGTGATGGTTGTTGGCCTCAAGTCTCGTGACACTCCACCTTGTCCATCTTCGGGTGGTGGTAAGGGTCCATTGGTTGATCGGGACCGGTTGAAGTGTGATTATTGTGGGAAAGATAGGCTGATAAAGAACATTATTGGAAGTTGCATGGTCGGCCTACTCGAGGCCGTGGTCGTGGTGGTAGTGTTCGTCCTCAAGCTCATGTGTCTAAGATTGCTGTTAGTGCCTCGGATGATGCTGGTTCTATTTCCCAGGATGAGCTTCACACTCTCAGACGTTTGATGGCTCGACTTGATTCTTCCTCTATCTTAGCTCCTTCCTCTTTTGCCTCTTCCAACTTTGCCCACACAAGTATTTCTGCCAGTGCACTTAGTGCTTCTTCGTCTTCTTGGATCATTGATTCCGGCGCTACCGATCACATGGCGGGTACTTCTTGTTTTTTCCATTTTTATTCACCTAGTTCTGGATGAGATAAAGTTAAGAGTGGCTGATGGCACTTTATCTTTTATCTTCGGCAAGGGTTCTGTTCATTGCACCTCTTTACTTTCGCTTTCCTCTGTTCTTTATGTTC